ATTCTGGAAGTGGCTTGGGGAGAAGGGCTGCTTAGAGAACTGGCACTCCCTGTCTCTTGCCTTAAGGGGGGGCTACATCTGTGTTCATTTTATAATTATTCTCTCAATCGCATATATATGTCTTATGTACTTTTCTGGATATGATCTACCCTAAGATTAAAAAAACATAAATGCATCAGGGCGCGCCTGAGTGGCTCAATCCGTTGAGTTGGTTAATTTATATGAAATAAATTAAGTTATAGCAATTCTCTCTCCATTTGTTGACTGCTTTAAACATTTTATGATAAAAAACCTCACATGTGTTAGGAGACAGAAATAAAACTGATCTATGCATTGAGAGACATGACCAAGTTCTGACGTGGTCACTAATGTAGAATTTGGGATGAGCCCTTTAGATTCTCTGCACCTGCGTTTCTCCACTTCTAAAACGCAGGTTAGTTGGGTGCCTGGGTGGCTCAGTCGGTTAAGCATTGGACTTCGGCTCAGGTCGTGATCTCATGGTTGGTGGGTTCGAGCCCCACGTGGGGCTCTGTGCTGAAAATTTGGAGCCTGGAGCTGGCTTCGGATTCTGTGTTTCCCCCTCTCTCTCTCTCTGCCCCTCCCCTGCTTGCACTCTATCTCTCGCTGTCCCTCAAAAAAGAAATAAACATTAAAATATATAAATGCATCTGAAATCAACAGGAAGACACGCGACATAGGATAATAGCCTCAGAGACCCACTGCCTCCGTTTTATAAACAAGGAGACTGAAGCCCAGAGAGGTTACAGGCTTGCTCAAGGTCACAAAAATGTGCTTCTGGTCAACGTGGGACTAGAACGAGGTCCAACAACTTTTCAAACTCAGTGTTCCTCCACCACCTTCCATCCCTCTCTGAAGAGGCCTCTCTCTGGGGGGGGGGGGGGGGGGGGGGGGGAGTGGAAGGCACAGATTTCCAGCCTGGAAGTTCCCTTGTTTTGTGAAAAAGAGAAAGGCGAGTCAGCAGGTCTATATCCCAAAGAGCTGGAATCAACTGTGAGGATTGTACCCACTTTTCAGATGGAATTTCAAAAGATTTAAATCCGTCCCTCCAAAGTTACCTCATTGTAATGATAAAATTACAAAAAACAAAATTCCAGAAATCTCTGGCAACTCTGAAATTGGAGTTCTACTCAGGCTGCATCTGATTTACAGATGGTATCGGAGAAAGGGCTGGAAGGCGCTGGGGAGGGAGGGGAGGAAGGACTGGGAGCCAGGAAGTCTGCAATTTTATTGACTTACCCACCTGGCCTAGGTGAGACCCTTAGCCCTGGGACAGTCAGGAAAGGAACCTCTGCTATCTCTCTGAGAGCTTTTTTGTTTTGTTTAGAGGTCAATTACTTCCCATTTGGGAAGCTTGTGAACATTAAGAGGTGCCTGAAGTGACGGGGCTGAACGATGCAGATAAGAGCTGATTGCTTGCAGAGCGCCTCCCTGGTGAAAGCCGGCCGGCTAAGCTGGGGACGGTAAGACGCACACACAAAGGGGCAGCTCTCAGTGCAAAGGAGAGATTCCAGGACGGAAGATGGGCAGCTGGAGGTGGGCTTGATGAGCTGAGAGAGGGATGCGTTTTAAAGTGATCTTGACAGGCAGAAAGTGAGGAGACGGGAGAAGACAGTTGCCCTTCCTTCTGCTTTCCTTTTGGAAAGCCATCGTTGGTGTCGGGAGAATCTCAAGCTTCCAGGATCTCCACCCAAGAGAAAACCACACGGATTGCCTACGGACAAGGTTTTGTTAGTTTAGTTTTTTGTTTGTTTGTTTGTTTGTTTGTTTGTTTAGAGCAGCAAAAACGGAGGCTGCAAAAATCTCGAGAGCAGAACAGAAAATGTCGTAAATCAACGGCACCTCTAAAGGGTCTTGGGCATATATGACAGCAACATGCCATCCAGCCTCCCACGCCCCTTCAGCCAACTGAATGCAGTTCACGAATTCCCAGAAGCTAGACTTGAACTGCATCTCAAACTACTGTAGAACACGAGCATGGCTTTGGCGTGTGCCCGCTTACTTTTCTCCACTCCTGAGGCTTCGACCTTTCCTGGAGCCTCTCCCAGTAAACAGTGTCATTCCCACACTAATCACCAGGCTTAATCCCCTCCTGCAAGCACCCACCTCCTCCCCCCAAGCCTTCTCTTTCTTTCCAGAGAGGGCGCACTGTCTATCCTCCTTGACACGCAGCATTGACCACCTTGTATTTTTAGATACCTTTCTCCTGTTAGTCTCTGGTATCCAATGCGATAGTAAATTTCTTCAGGGCAGCAGTCCTTCCAGAAATGTCTGGGTGATGACTGAGTTGCTGATGACTGAACCAAGCCGCTTTTGCCTTCACTCACAGACTTGACCAAGCCATAGCTCATCCTCGAGGCTGTGCTTTTTCCGTGTGGTTCAAAATGTCGAGGCAGCATGGGAAGCAAAGCCTGTTCAGAACATCTGGGACCAGCCTTGGTGCTTACTTTTCCATGTGAGAAGGGGGCAAAGGGCGAAGAAACTAACATTTACTGATTTTCTACTCGGTGCCGAGTACTCTGCTAGATCCCTGCAATGGTGACCTACGATTCCAGGGTGAGGACCTTACCCAAAGAACCGCAACAAAGGATTTTTAAAAATTAACATGCAGAACTTTAGAATCTGCTCTTGGGAAAACGTAACATGACTCACTTAACAACCGAGGGCTGGACAGATGGTCCCTCAGTGGAAGCATTGAACTTAAGCTCAACTGTCATGAACCTAAGGCCAGTGTCCACATGTCCTTCCCTTTTGTAAGGAATGTCCCCCAAAGTGAAAGATGGGTAATGCCGTGTGACCATTTTCCCGCGATGGACAGTTTAACTCTAATCTCTATTTCTTTTTTTTATCTTAGCTGAATTGACCAAGGAATATTTATTGATCCCAAATTTAAAGTATACAAACTGCCCTCTTTAATCTCAGGAGCACAAGCACAAACTATAGCTGTGCACTGTGGAGCATGTCTAAATGTATTTTTATTAACAGCGAAAATAGAGAAATAAAAAAGGATGAAAATCAAAAGGAGGGAAAATGTAAGGAAATGGTAGTAAGAAAAAAATAAGAATAATACTCTTGTTTTTAGCTTGAGCACATAAGCTTCAAGAGATGTTAGCAGTGAGTAGTCAGGTATAGTTTACATAGGACCAAAGAAGTCTGTTTCTCGCGAAACAATCAGGACACATTCAAAAATGAGAAAATGCAGGGCCAGTACATTTTGGTTAAATATTCGCATTTATTAAATAGAATTTAATTTTTGGCATGTTAGTGGTGGAGGGGTGAAGAACCAGAGTTTTCATTGTCTACAAATGTTATCCAAGGGGAGAAAACAGGGGCCCAATTTTCCTGCCAGAGATAAATGTATCTGACCCCTTGTTCCCATTAATAGAAGGAGTTTGTTTTCAGTCTTAAATTTGCAGAATTTCAAACATCTTTACGGAGGAGGGTCATGATTTCCCCCTAAAGTTCAGGCTTCCTACCCATCCCTAGGTGGACTTACGGCCTCCTCGATGCCTCCTTTCCTGTTGCCTGGTTTAGAAAAGGGTTGTGGTTTGAAAGAACCCCACAGAGCGAGAGAGCGAAGAAATCAGGTAACCTATCTCCAGGACTCCAACCATTTTGTCTCCCTAGGAAATCTTGTCTGCACCGAGGAGTCTGAACTTCTGGGTGTCGTTTTTTATTTTAATTCGAAGTTGCTTAGAGGTAAGGAGAGGTGGGTGGATTCTAATGGCCCCCACACACGCAAACACACACAAATATATTTAGTGTATTCACTCAAGGTGCTGGGCTGAATACAGGGGATAAAATGCAGTGACCGTGAAGGGGAGAGCCAGAATACCTTCCCCGAGAGCAACCACGTCCCCACTGGATTAATGCAGTCCTCTGAGAACTGAGCAGCGAGGGGGGTGGGGGGAGGGCATTTTAAAGTCCCCTGAGGGGTTGGCTCACACAATAGTTCCTCACCAGGACCTCCTGCCCCC